GAAGATATTTATCAACTTACCTGGAGGACATTAACTCAAATCTCCGACTAGGACGAAAGGGATTCATCGACCTTCCTGCATGTTTCCAAAACACTTCAAAATCCTGTTTTAGATTCCCTGATTCTCATTTTCAGTGGCGGTCACGCAGAGTTCCAACTGATCAGTGCGGTTATCCGTACTTTAAAAGTGCAGCCTAACCATTTCATTTCTCACTTGACAAAAAATCTGTTGGTTTCCGTTTCAGAAGAGCTGCGTAAACAGTCGGTAGTTTTTATTTGGGCAACGTTCCGCTTTTGACACAAACGCTGCATCAGGCCAAGTGAACAAGTCATCAAATTGACAAGGCTATAAGGGGAACCGATCAGTAAGTCCTCTTCAGATTATCACACTAGATCAGTGTTGAGTATCAATTAACGACTCTTGTCGGCTAGTGTGGTTGCCAAAATCTTGAATTGATGGGTTGGGGGAGTTTCAAAGTAATGTACTACTCACAAGGTTGCTGAAAAGTATTTCCGGTCGCTTTTTGTCCCTGCATCTTCCAATTCAGGATGCTTCACTTGATGATTCACCTCGGGTTTCATCAGTGGATTTTTTCTTGATCTTCGTGGGCATGTGAATGTTGCGACAATTTAGTTCGAGGGACGGGAGTTGGGTAAGTTTAAGTGGAATCCACATGATGACTACTCTTCCCTCTGATAATTTTACACCAACACGTGTTAGCTCGATTGACCTAAGACCGTTTTCCACACGCTTTCTCGTTCCACACCTTCTATCCTGCTAACACTGGGGTGCCTAGCGATTTCTACTACCCCTCAAAACGTACTACTTATTCTAAAGTTTTACGCCAGAAATCCCCCTGACGGGATTCAACAGTTGAACTGTTCTTCAGTTTACTGCTTACATGGAACTCATCTAAAGATACGAAAAACGAGGAACCGCTATCGCCCAAACAACACGTTTGGTTACATGCGTATCAAGGAAAGTTTGGACTCTGCCTCTGACTGGCAAGATGACTGAGACTCAAAAGGCTGAATTCTCACGTCGTAACCAACGCAGCGTAACCACGACCTACTGCCTCACGAAGCGTGTCACGTGACTTTGGCCGTTGTTCTCCAGTATCGGTGCTAATTACGTAATTAAGCTGGTCGGTCACGTGATTTGTGGGAAAAACAATGGAAATCATTCACCCAAGTGTTTGGGCGTTCTTCCAAATACATAGTAAAACGTGTATCCATTTGTATTCCAAGTGTGTACCGTTACATCGTCCGTTCTTTCATCAATCGGTGGTATCCTATTCTGTTTCGTCATGTTTTCAGAAAAACTTGACCTCAGTTAGCTGTGTACTTCAATGCCGAGACTCATCTATGAACATAGCAGGCTTGCCATGCCCCAGTCATGTTTCTTGGATGAAACGCAGCTGAATTAAGTCAACGGTTGAATTCAAATTCATTAATGCTTTGGTTTGTTTGTTTGTTTGAATTCGGAGAAATAAAATCACCTTGAAAGGCTTAATAAATCCGGCAAAATAGGTCCAGAGAAAGCGAGGTTGTTGGTGGACCAGACTTTGTCTCAATAGGAAAACGCTCGTCTTTCGCAAATGAACCTGTTTTATTGCTTATCTCATAATTCGATACAGTCTATTCCACATTATTCATTATTCTTGAGAACCGCACACACCCCGTACTGATTGGGACACTGGACAGCAATTATTTTGCTCGCGCGTGTACAAGTCGTACGGATGCGTAATCACTTGAGAACTAATGAAAAGCAACTATTTTGATGAGGTAAGCAAACAGTCCGGTGACAAGGCGATTTCAAATGTCAAACAGAGCGTGACTGCTATGTATCTCACGTAATTCAGAGTATTTTTCCTGAGCGTCATTCACCCGAGCGTCAGTATCAGAGGTTCTCACTCTGGAAACGGCCCACAGGTTACATACTCACTAAGAAATGAATGAATACAAACACTACCAGTGAAGCGTTACTCACCTGTCAACTATTAGACGGCCCATTTCTCCCCTAGTTGTATTTTAGAACAAACCCATGATGGAGTACAAAACTGGACCACATCAGTGACGGCTATGAGGCATGAAGTGACGTCAGAAAGATTGCAAACCGAGCGTGCAAATCAACGATCGACAAAAAATTGAACTTCCGCGCCATCACGACAATTATTATGACAGATTGACACAGAAGAAAGGAACTTATTGATACAGAAGCAGTCAGAGTAGATGGAAGTTTCATCAAGTGTCCCACTGGAGGAAACTATCAGGTGCTGACAGTTATCTGTTTAATGATACATTGCGGGTTGCGCATATGAAAAGAACATCCCGAAAGCCAGAACTCATGAGGCTTCTTGACAGTTTGACAAGCTGATGAGAGAACGACATATAAATGACCTTGTGTTTGGCTGACTTTTGAAAGTTCATGCATCCAGTGTGCCACAAAATTCCATGATCAACCAGATAAAATCCCACACCCAAAATGTTGAGAATGTTGGACCGATGATCGATCGAAACCAGAGCAAACAGTTCAGAGGTTTGCTTGGTCGAGTCTAAGCTGAAAAAAAAACCTGCCTTGCTCCTAGATTCTGGTTCCATCGTTTCAAATGTTGAATTCCACGCCTATGGGTGTATGTCGTGAGAAGTGGATGACAATCCGAAACAGATGGTCTCTTTAGCCACCACGAACGAGGTAATCGTGGTGCTATACAGTGTACGAAGATGGATGAAACAGAAAGTTCGTGATGTGCTCAATGTAAACGAAGACACTGGACCTTACCGTGGTGTGACGAGTTGCGCACCTCAGCGATCCATTGAGCTGTACTCGCAGAGTACCTCATACCAGGTTGGTCAATGGTTAGAGGTCTGACGAACACAGTCTCCTGACCCTCCAGGTTAGGGGGTGGAACATGTGGTGACCTGTTCCGTAGAAATGGTAATGCATTTGCATTTCCCGCCAAACACCGCTGCCTTGCGGTTAGGCTTTTGAGCCAAAGGCTTTGGTTGAGGACCCTAGTCGTCCTCCTGTCTAGGTGTGGGCGCCCTGGCAGTATCCCAGCCCACGTACAACCATGACATACACAACTAGCAATACTCTCATGCCACATCGGTACGGCAATGAAGCATCGGTGTTGAACACTGATGTCATGCTGTCAATGATGATGATGGTGATGATGCAGTCGTACGCAGAGAACGGAAACAGGACATGTTGATTTACTACCAGTTAAGAAAGGAGACATACCGAGAAGCCCGGACGGTTTCTATATCCGAATGGATGTTCGATACAGACCTGAAGGGAATCTTAAGTCAACCGAAACGAAATGAAAGCCGTTTGGCTACTTAATGAATATATCCACGGAAGTATGTTTTGTTCCAGGATTAAGACTAGGAGTGGAATAACACCCGAGAAGTTCTAATCCAACTGATTTGATCTTTTGGTCACGTCCCGGACACCAAACTTCCTGGAAAGTCACTGAAATATCTTAAAAATTCCGGAACATTTCGCGGAAACTGGGAAGTAGTTATCATCTCAAGTGTCATTTATCTAAGCTGTGCCCTGCCATCAGTCACGAAAGTTTGCTCCATCCTGACTATCGTGTGCGTTTCGGATGCTGCTGGAAACAACTAAACAAGTCTTTGCGTTTTCAACGTGGCCTTGTGCAAGCAAAGAGGTCTTTCAAGCTTCACGACAGTCTCACCTGGATCCAAAGGAACTACTCGTGAAAAAAAAACAGATGGTACACTATACGCTGCAGTTCGAAACATCGTTGCCTTCGTAGTACGTGTGTTGTTTTGGCTAAAAGTGACTCAGAAGTTGCGACAAATAGATTCATTTGCAAAGTGATTTGCTCTTCACGGGAGACTCAAGTGAATCACTCGTTTTTATGATGTACTTCAATTGAATGTGCTTCACGCGGGCCGCGTCGTGGTGCGATATCCGAATTCAAGTGGAATATAAGGTTGACGGAAACTCGGGGACTGCGCCTACCTGATGAGCCCCAAGAAGGGCGAAACCGGTCTTTGGCTGTCGAAAGGTTTGCGGCAACCTTGTGATTAGTTTTCTTCAAGAAAATATACTGCGATATCTCGAATATCGTACCAAATGTAACATGAGGCGGCCTGTGTGCAGCACATTCAGTTGAAGAACATCGTAGAAACGAGAGATTCAGTTGAGTCTCCCGTGAAAGCCAAACTGATTTGCAAGTAAGTGTACTTGTCGAAATCAGTCCAATTTGGATTCAAGTAGGACATAACGTTGACGGAAACTCGGAGACTGCATCTACCCGATGAACCCCAAGAATGACGAATTCGGTCGTAGGCTACCGAAGAGTTTTCAGCAACCTTGTGATTCAACCTTTGTGATTCAGAAGTTTCTTAATAAACGTTTTCAAATTGCGGGATAAAAGTTCCCATCTCTAGCGATATGGGTAAGCTTGGCAGTAGTTAGTCTGTTCCAGTGATACATTCGACTCCCATGATTTGGATCTTGGGGGAACCAGGTCCAGTCATGTTTTAACAAGGCATGGTGGTAGTATGAGATAATTGAAATTGGAAAGGTTTTTATCTACGTTTACTGTGGACTTACGTCGTAGATTAATTCCAACAGATCCTTTAGAAAGCCGGACAACTCATCGTCTTCAATCGCTCCGTTATTATCCTGAAATGAAAGTAGTACAACGGATCGCATTTAGATAAAAAAAAGACATCGAATAGTACGGTATTTGGACGTAAAAGCAGGTGAGTATGGAGGTTATACTCTTCAAATGTGAGCCTGTGCATTTCAACAAACTGTGGTTGCCAGTGGTTAATTATATGAGCACTGTTTAAGACTCACTGTGACAAAGCTTACGAGGTTGTAGAAATGCTTTGGGTGCTCTCGAGACACCTGATTTGTGATGATCCAATCGATAGAAGGCCTAGAAGGTCTCGCTGAGTTTGAGGTGGCACTCTGAATGAGTGAGCACAGTGATGCTACTCACTGGTAGATATGCGCTCACTAGCTGGTCTGTTAGTCCATCGCCTTCAGCGGAATGCTCTGCTATCAGTGCACCACAAGGAAGTATGGGGAATGTCCACTGAAGAAAACTCGAAGAGATAGGCGTGGCTAGTAGATATCCCGGCTCACAACTGCTAGACGGATTTCAGTTCGCTCTCTGTTAAAGTGCACAATGGCAAAGCTCTGTACCTTCTTCGGGTGGAGAGGAGAGTTTGAAAGATATCCCGGCTCACAACTGCTAGACGGACTTCAATTCGCTCTCTGCTAAAGTGCACAATGGCAAAGCTCTGTACTTTCTTCGGGTGGAGAGGAGAGTTTGACAAATCTTCCATCGGTCTACCAATAAACTTCATAGGTCAGTGGCGGAGGGGTTCTTGCATGAATGAACGTCCAACTCGGTACCACCTTGTTAGGTGGATTGTCCCAAACATCTGTTATGTTTTCGAGCACCTCTCCAATTAGTCGTTCTTCCTAAGGGCGGAACTTTTTCCACCGTCTTTGACGGAGACTGCATTTTGTTGTCAAACATTCAGATGCCGAAATAGTCTGGAGATTCGTGTAAGACTGCCAGCCTCATTCGTACGGATATCGACAGAAAAACTGGACTGTTTCCGGATAGGACCACAGGCTTGCATTTTCGCTCGATTATTTGGTACCTGACGACACTTTGTGGCAGCCAAACCTGGCTAAGTTTAGCTGAAACCCTTGTTAGAGACTGACGGGTTTTTTCGATTTTGTGTGCAGTGGTTGCACATCAGTGTAGTTTGAGATGGCGGATTGGTTCGCATGATCGGATGAACGACCCGTAGCTGATTTTACTCTGTTCACGCAGAATACACAAAGAAACATAGAAAACATTTTGACTTATAAGTAGATAGGACGGTAGAACTGTAGTTGGAATGATAGTTTTACATTGAATTCGTCCTCCGAAGAGACACAGTCCATTGGAATTAACTGTGACGCACTTCTGTCCTTAAAAGACAGGCAAGGAATGGTTACTTACAATCGCACACCTGACTACAGTTATGAGATAATCTCAAGGTTTGAAATTCACTACTTATCTTACGAAGTATAGGATCCTGCTACGGGACCTGGTGTAACGGTGATACTACTGATGGGAGAGGCAGGTGAGTAGTGTGTTTTCTCGTAAATCCGCTTTGAGTCTCTTGGAAAGTGAGATCCATTATGGAATTCGTGGAGTCACCTTGTAGCACTTGCTTGAATTTGAGCGACAGTTAATGAATACTCAGGAAAGTTCAGGAAGATGCGTTCAAGCAGAAGGCCTTCTTCCTTTCAATGGTAGTTTGTGTAACCAGTCACAGCGCCACTGTCCGGCTCTCGAAAGTAGCCAATCACAACAACGGACGACCAGTTCGATCGATAAGCGGAGCTGCTAACCGCAAGACGTGGAATAAGTCGTTTAAAGATTCATCAGCTTCATTTTCTGGGGTAAGTAACTGGAGTCTGTCCGTTTTTTATCATAGTCTTACCTTGTTTAAATCAACTCCTGGTCTTGCAGGCCACCTCAACTCATAAGTGGATGAAAGACAATCAGTAGGTTGAATAAGTGTTGTAAACGATCCTACAGTTCTTTTATGTGAAATGAAGTCTTCTGATTACTGCTCATTTCGTCTATGTGATGTTCTCCAGTCGGATTGTGGATCTCTCGAGAGTTTCACCACTACAAGGCGTCTCAAATGTTGTTTCAAATTTCAACACAACCTATATTTAGAGTATCGTATTTGATCCACTTGTTCTTACTATATTCTTGGCTGTTCACCTTCTCCATTAAAACGGACAGAGTATCCTGAGCAGCCAGTTTTAAAGACAATCGTGTGTGCTCATCTGCAGACTAGTTCGGTTCTGACAGGGGACATACCTGGAACGCTGGTGAAACTGTCGCTACATAATGCTCTTAACCCCGCTTGACTAGGTTCAAGAACCGGCCGTAGACTGTCGAAGAGTTTTCAGCAACCTTATGAGTAGTGTAGTAAGTCCATATCTTTATATGAACTTGGAGTATCACGAACGTCCATCTACCTTCATCACATTAGATAACTGACAAGACATTACAAGGGCGTGGATGAAACAATCTGGATGACGTCTGTGAAAACGGACAAGCTTAGACAGAACTAGAGGTGACAGTACAGTGAACTTTCGGTCTAGGATCAATGCCACCATCCAGTTAACCGTGAATTAATTCAACTAATTGCCAGTTACAACTGGGATTTGCGGAGGAAGAGGGGCCTACTGCAAAAGAGTAAAGCACAACTTTGGAAGATGAAGGAGTTATAGACAAACAAACGTAGATTCTAGTGTTGATTGATAAGACGTGATGGTCTACTTTTCTTGATCAAATGACAGGTGCCTCAAATCGAAATCGGCGATGAGTGTCGTGGCAGCTCTTTGGGTTGTGTATATAGTCATGTCTGTTTGATGGGTAATGGATCGACATGTGAAACTAGAGACCCGGAGTGGCGAATCACACTGGTTGGCCGGTGGAGCTCTCCTGGACGGTAGCTTATGCTCTGTATCAACAGTCAGATATCTTCATCATGATCATGATCATGATCATCATCACCATCATCATCGTCATCATCATCATCATCATCACCTTCATCTTCAACTTCATCTTCGTCAACGTCATCAAGCGCAGCAAAATCTGTGTTGACAGTGATGCCTGACTATCGTACAAACAAACTTTATTTACTTATAGCTAAAGCCTTAATTTCAACTGTGAACAGCGAAATCGATAAAAGGAGGATCTGTTGGTGACTAATCACAACCGTTTTAAAATGACTACACATTCGAGCACTTAGTCGGACGATCTAGAAAGAAAATGGCGACACCAACACTAGTTACGTTGATCAGCCGGTGTTTCTGGCAATGCCTTCTCAACATCTTTGGCCGAAGGACCGGCCGTTTGAAGTAAACAATTGTTCCAATTTTAGGCCATCATTAATCTTGGGTGAGAGTATAAATAAGTTCATTGTGTCCTTGTCATTCATGTCAATTCTTGATAAATTTACCGAAAATTCCAACTAAGAATGGCGACAAGCCTTATCCGGCCCTTTTTCAGGTCAAGATCGCCAAGTTGGAGGAGTTTGGTCTACTGTGCGTGTGATTACCATTCATTACTGGTAGACAACTAGGAGTCTTCCGGTCATCAAGAACCTTGCCTCCTTTGGAATGTGTCCAAAATTTCGTGTATCTCCCCCCTCGTCTTGTGTACGATGAACTAGTAAAGCGGCCAGAACACCATGATTCTTGTCAATTCTCCCAGCGATTCATTATCCGATAATATTCTCATCACGTAAACAAAACCAGACTAGAGAAAGGTTCGCTATCGAGCCCGTTCAAAGGTTCGTTTCTTCTGAACCCCACAAGCACAAGAACTCAGTTGGTGGATGCACGTATGGGCACGGCCCACGATGGCTCTGAACAGATCACAGCCTACTCAATTCATTCCATCTCTCGAGGTAGGATAAATCAGCTGTCCACACAAAGTTACCACTTGGTTTTTCTTCTACGTTGTGTATGAAATCAGTTTGTCCGTGAATTGTGCTGATATGCTCTGTCTGTATACAATTGCTGAATCCTACCTGTCACAAAAAATCTCAACAGAGCATCCAGTTGGTACCAATCAAAATAATATGTAAACATATACCTGTGTATCGGGGATACTACTGATGGGAGTGGCATGCGAGTAGTATGTTTTCTCGTAAATACGCTTTCCGTCTCTTGAAAAGTGGGATCTATAACGGATTTGTGGAGTCGCATTCGCTTGCATTTGAGCAACAGTCAATGAATATCCAGGAAATTCCAGGAAGACGCGTTCAAGAGAGGATGCATATTCAGTTTTTGTGAACAAGATGCATGTGAGAGTTTTGCTTCCCTGTCCAATAGTCTGTAAATGTTCAACTGGCATCTCCGCATTGAAGGCCTTCTTCCCTCCACTAGTAGTGTAGCGTACCCCAAAGAGCAAAAGGTTGAGTGGAATTCCCTTTGCCTCTCTTGGAAAGGGGAAGTCTGTTGCGGAATTCGTGGAGTCGCTTTGTAGCTTGAATCAACATCGTCCTAGTTGTAAGACCGATCGGAAAGACTGACCACTCAGCTATCACGTGAATTTTCACAGGGTTGAGAAGTAAAGTTAATTAGGCGGATGAAGAGCAATTTTCCTCACTATTCATTCATCCGTGTCCACAAGTGCAACGGTTCGTTCAGTCACGGTTGATTAAATCGCACAACTGATGCAGGTGAGAATCGGTTAATCGAGCCTTCTGAAGTTGATGTTTCACGTGGTTAAATGTCCTCAGAGACTGTGCGTATTGAGAACATCAAAAAATCTCTAAAGTTGTGGCATAAATGGGGCCCTAGAACTCCGCATGGTTCCATCTACGTTACCAAATTCCAGGGTATCGTTAGGTGATATTGTGACCGCCGTTGTGTTATACGCTGGCATGGAGACAGAATGAAGATTGTCTGTTTTGCAACAAGCTTTTATTCCGCCAGCCTTGTCGAAACTCCTGTGCCTTTCCCTTTCCTTCCTCTGATTTGCCTAGTTGCATGATACAAGCCTGAGAACATCAAAAACGAGAGATTCAGCTGGGTTCCAGGTGAGTTTCCCGCAAAAAAAAACAAATTAATTTGCAACTGAGTGTACATACGCTAATTTCGTGCAATTTGGTTCCAATTAGAACATAAGGTTGACAGAAACCCGGGAACCGCGCCTACCTGATGAGCCCCAAAAAGGGCGAAACCGGTCGTGGGCTGTCGACGGATTTCCAGCAACCTTATGAGTAGTACATTACAAAAATATACGAGTCGTTCGTTAATTTACTAATCGAAGGAGCCTCAACCTTCATACGCGACATTTCCAACAGGAGATAGCGTACCCAAGTCGATTAATTCCTTTTGTTGAATAAGAATGAAAACTCGTGTTTTTCTCTCGGGTTTTAGTCGTATTTTCTTGCATTTTTTGGTTGATTCTTTCGCACACAGATTCACCGTCCGGTACAACTGGGGATTTGTGATACTGATCCAAGTTTCTGACTAAGCGAGGGAACACAATGATGTTCTTTCCAGGAGGAACTTCCCGTGTCCCTAGAATGACGTCAGAAAGGTCCGTGTTTGGTTGCAGGATCGTTTGGGATGCGTGTGGTCCAGGTCCAGCTCTCGTAAACGAACTGACGAAGTGCGATTGCTCGCAATTCATGCTAAAGTTGAAAGATTTGCTTAAGGAAAACATCACAGCTATACAACTGTGGCGCGCAGCCACCACTCTGTACGCAATTCATCTTCCGGACGAGTCCAACTTGGGAAAGTGGACTAGTGACTTTCCTAGTTCAACTGTGACGTATCGTTCACCGGAACAGGCTGTTGATATGTCGGTCGCATTTGGCTAATGGTTGATCTTCCGAAGGTTCCAAAAACTCCGCCACACGAGCTCAGAAGGCGTTTCGCACTTAAAAAGCCAACTAAATGTGGTCAGAAGAGGTGTGGTCTTAGTGTATTACGCTCATTTGCAAACTAATTTGTTCTTTCCGAGAGAATTACCCGGAATCCAGCTGAATCTCTCATTTGTGATGTATCCAGGCAACTGAATACCCAGGCAACTGAATACGCTGTACCAGACCGCCTCATGTTTCAGTCGCTAAGATGTTTGAGATATCGCGGTACATGTATATGCGAAATGCACTACTGATGAGGTTGCTGAAAATTCGCCGACAGCCCACGACCGTTTCGCCCTTCTTGGGGCTCATCAGGTAGGCGCAGGCTCCGAGCTTCCGTCCGCTCTATGCTCTACGTGAAACCAAACTGCCTGGTCTTGATATCAACTACCTGTAAATTCCAGCCAAAAATCCTTTTGACGCCTAACCAAGGATTAAGAACATCCATGTGACTGAACTTTTCAAGGTCACTCCAAGTTTTTTGTTTGAAGATGTCTTCATGAAACTGGAGTACGTTATCCCGGCACAGTGTTACTCAACCAAAAGATGCGCGTGGTGTGTGGATTTTAGATATCCGCATCAGCTGATTCTGTCGAGACTGATAGGCTTCCTTGCCGAGAGTGATATTCATTAAGGGTAAGTTAGTCATATCTAAAAATCCTCACACACACAGTGTCTCATACTGAAACCAAATTCATGAAGATCAACATGAACAGACCTAGTGGAAAACTACGTAAAATAGAGGACTTTGCAATGCCACTTCGGAAATTGAGCGTCATGTGAAATCAACTTTTATACAGTGTAGAGGTCACTCATCAGATCACGCGTCACAAACAGTCAAACCACGTGACAATACCTGTCCCACTTGCAACCTTAGCCGACAAATTGTACACTACAACACTACTACACCTACTTCTCTCCTTCGCTGAGGGGAGTGTTTGTGACGCGTGATCTTATGAGTGACCTCTACAGGTGCATGTACCGTTTAGAAAATGAACCATTGCAGAAGTGATACGAACCCCGGCTACCATCAGTTATCTGGGCTCCCAGTACAGATGGAAGGCTTCTTTTCGAAAGAGACACCTTCAGTGACGTGAAAATGCACCTTCGACTCGAGTGTTTCCGATTAAGGCAAGCTCATAATACGAAGCGTGTATCAAGTGATCTGTACCGAAACGTCGAATGGAATTTCTGTCGCATACGGATTGGTTGCATGAGTATTTGATGGGAATTTTTTGAGTTTCTGGATTCGGTCGTGATGTTAAACGGTAGAACCCTGTTCGGTTATGCCGCCCGGCTCATTTCGAACAAGTCTGCTCTGACAGCCACCTATAAGAAGCAAGAATCCAGAAAATTTATATGAGGACAAAAAAGGAAATGATTGAAAAATCGATGCCGAATCGCTGCAGAACCATGCCTTGATTTATTGGCTGAATTCGCATTGAAAATTTTTATCGATTTGCCATCGAATTAATTAGTGTTTACTTGAAAATAACTTCACATGATGTACCTAATTAAGACGTTGAAATTTCCTGTGAAATCAACCGTTTACGAAGACGATCGATTGGCGAAGCTGGAACGTTTATCAGGCATCAGCTTTGTCAGGATGGATTCCAGCAGAATTTCAGCAAAATCTGATACGAAACTAATGTTTGGGAAACTGCATGGCTCCGTTTGATCATACTGTAGCACAAAAGCCAAGCCCGATATATTCGGCCTTCGGAGAAGCTCTGTCTGCTTTGGTTTAGATTTTAGTGAAGTTCCCCCAGTAACTGTGTGGAGGGCGCTCCAAAGTCACACAGGCGAAAATAAGCTCGTGCATCGCTCTGGATTCTACTGATAAACAGTCTCCTTGAACAGCAATATTTTTGTGCCATTTCCTCTCCCCGTGTGACATCTCCCAGAGGAGTCTCAAATTTCAAGCTGACTTCCTCTAAAGTGTCATCTTTACACTGAAGTCGTGCAGTTGCATTTTTATGAATGAGCTTGCAGTTGTTTTCAGCTTCGAAATCAATAGAATGTTTTATCGATTTGCTCAAAGTGAGGACTATTCGCGTTAAAAATGCGTTTATGCTTCAGCAAAAGCGCAAGCCTGATGAGTAAATCTGGAGACCAATTTGGCTGTTACAATTCACAATGTGTCACCCACGAAGTGCATGGTAATCAACGCTCTGTCCCACTTACCGTATCGTACAACGCAAAAACACGATCAACGTCCTGGGAAGTGATGCAACCAGCTCGTCGAAAGATTGGCCGACAGAGGAAATTTTCTTCAACCGGCAGTAATCTGAAGAAGGAGAGCCTTGTTAGTGATCGGTTGTGGATTGTAGGTTACAAGAAGGGCCACTTTTTAAGTTACAGAAATACCGGTGGCTAGTTACTGTGACGTTGGATGCTACTGATGAAGCATGCGAGTAGTATGTAGTTCTCTCATAACTCCACATCGCGTCTATTGAAAAGTGAGATTTATTACGGAATTTGTGGAATCGCTTTTGAGTGATAGTCAATGAGTATCCAGGAAAGGTCAGAAAGACGCGTTCAAGAAGAAGATGGATATTCAGTTTTTATAAACAAGATGCAAATGAGAGTTTTGGTTTCTCGTCCGATAGGCTATAACTTTTCAGTTGGTGTTTTTAATAGATGGCTTCTTCCTTTTATAAGTGGCGTAGGCATCGGGTTACACAACTCCAACCACTTCCAATCGAATCCAGCCACACGAATTGGAAACGTGGATAAATAGTGAACGTCGCTCCATCCGTCTTTACCAATGGATCCCATTTCATGAAAGTTTACCCTGGTAGATAATTATCCGAATCTATCGAACTGCAAAAAAATAAAATGTACTATGCAAACAGATAACTGTTCAGGAACAGCGGAATCACAGTGTTTGTCTTTGGTGTGATATTCAGCACTCCTAAATTCATTTGTCATGGCTAATTTTTTCGGCTTGATAAGGTATCATCTTGGCATGGTCCCGACTACTGAAATCGACTTTCCTCAGGTCAGTCTTGGTGTATCAGTGAAAAAGAACGGTGAAATCTGTTGGCTGGTCGAAGAGTGGATCAGGAGATCCAATTAACACAGTGTGTTCAGTGCACCTGTGGGGAGTCAGCTATTTCAGCAACCTTGTTTTAGCATGGAGTTGATGGAAGGTCAAGGTGAAAGAAAAAGATACCCAAAATGTGTTTTGGTTGTCTTCTAGACTATATGAATTCCAGAGAATCCTCTTTGATTGGAAAACCTCCAGGCAACCTTCCCGCCCTATATACAGTGCGCATAAACCAGAAGGTGCGCATACCGATGTGAAAAAGGCAGGCCATAGAATGCAGGCAGTCTCTTGCCCGTCCTTATAACGATTTGTGCAGAATTTCGCGGTCAACGAGGCACTATTTTATGTACCGACTTAGAAAGACACCGTCCAGTTGGGGCACACAATGTGAGCATATTTTCCACTAGATGAAACGGAGTCTCGGCCTGCCACCGATTTCAAAACATCAGGACAAGTCGGGTTGGACACACAAATCAATACAAGATATCCATATCGGTGACAGCATTCAGGAATGGAACTACTCACAAGGTTGCTGAAAACTCTTCGACAGCCTACGACCGGTTTCGCCCTTCTTGGGGCGCATCAGGTAGGCACAGTCCCCGAGTTTCCATCAACCTTATATTCTAATTGAACCCAAATTGGACTATTTTGGAGAAATATACTCATTTGCTAATCAATCTGTTTGGAGGGGCATGGTGGCAAGTAATATGTGATTGTTTACGGAATTCAATCTGTAAATAACGAACGTACTGCACTAGACAAAGTCAGATGCTGCGCATTATACTTTCTAGAGTGTTCCAGACCTACCCACTTAAAAAACAGTTTGTTGTCCGAACAGACTACAGCCCAAGTCACTGCTTGCAAGGCCTTATAGGCGCAGATAGGTAGACATCCATAGGTGAATGAAATTCACTCGATGAGTGGACTGGGAGAAGTCGTCACCCCAAGACCCAGTCAATCAACACGTGACCACGTGATGTGGACCTCAGGATTGGTGAGTGGCACCTTAGCTGTGTAATTACGAGTTAATTACAATGCTTATCGGCACCGGGTGGCCGAAAGGTTCAAACTACTACGCGGATCCGAGGCTCTCTGGAGTTTTGCGAGGTCCTCACTATTTATGAGTCCCAATAAAGAAGAAATAACTGTACAATGCTTCACGACTTTTCAACATGGATTGGCTTCACTGAAAGCACAAAATTCTGACCAAAATTTTCAAATCCCTTCACACCAGCAATCGTTCGGAAGGGTGCATTAACTTCCGGTAAGCGGCATTTCCGACTACAAACTAGACGTCCTTGGTTCTGTCAAAAAATTTAGTTCTGACCAAAGTTGATCACTTCGGAATCAAGTTCGTCCTTGATGATGATGACTCCGAAAAACACACAGCGACACAACCAGTTTGCGTGTGGGAGACACGGCAAATGCAGCTCGCTTAGGTTTGCTCATGCGACGAAGTCGATGGACAATTCTGAACCATGTCGTTACAGTGTACAGCTACCCAGGATACTCACGAAGGCACTGATGAAAACTGACCAGCTCAGCGAACAAGCCAACGACCGTTAATCTACACGTTAGGGGACGAATCTGATCGATAAGCCTTGACAGGAAATATCTCGTGAGAAATGCTATCCCCGGATTGAGCACACACAACTGGCAATCATCACAGAACAGTGTCCAAACTCAAACTGCGTGTAGTAATGGAACAATCGCCTGTCTCACTATTCAGATCCCTTGACCATCTTTTCTCACGATTTCGTATACACATCATTTCCGTTAGATTAACATGCTACCAACTAGAAAGAAGGAAACCGAAGCTCATGCTGTCAAGCTACCGCTACCATCAGCTGAGAGATGACCACAGCTCTTGGCATGGTACCGTTCACACGAATTCACAAAAGCCTGATGGCATGACTACCAATACCGCCAGACAATGGAACTTCATCGTAAAAACATGTGTTTCGGTGCTCTGAAATACACAAAACAGCTGCCCATCTGGTATGGAAACGCAAACTATCACTTATTTGTTCAGTGACCGACCGCGCATGATGCTATTTTTATGCTGAAGAAAGATAGAATGGTCCACCTACCTGGACATTTCGCTGAGTTGAAGCTTCCCGTCATTGTTGTAGTCAAATAGTTTTAGCTAGTGGAGGCATAAAAATAGACGTCAGTGGAATAGTTAAGTATACCAAGTAAGAGAGTACTTGTCAGAAACGAACTGACTTGCCTAATGTGTATTAATAGAAATAACTTGTTTGGCACTAGGATAGCTACGAAGCCACCGGATGGAACTGACAGAGATGAGATACTGTTAGGGTGCTCAAGCCTGGATAATATTCGAGATGCAGAGTTTATGTTTTAACCACTGACTTTTCGGTTACTGAATTCACGCCGTAACTACTGCGCTTTCTCGACGTAAACAGATAACCGACTGTTTCCCAATAAGGACGGATAATAAAGTTCCTCGGTTTTTCGGAATTGAATGATATCACTTGGTTAGATTTCTTGAAGTCACCTGAGGATATCAACAAAAGCTTTGCAATTAACTTAGGAAGAAGAATACCCTTCCCCTGGAACCCTTTGTTAGGAGTGGTCCTCACTAAAGAAGCCAGTCGCGTGATGTGGATTCTGTAATAGAAGGATGAGTGGCGCTAAATCCTGTCTAGCTGTGATTTGATCGCACAGCTAATCAGCTGATCCTGACCGAATGGTTTGTGCTAACCCGAAAGTCACAGGTTGAATCTCCGAAAGGCAAGCTCGACAATTTACATTTCAAAGATGTATGAGACTTAATGGGAAATGTTGAAACATTTAAGGGATAACTGGCTTTGTTTTTTTACTACCGTATCCTGTACAGTTAAGCATGAACTTTTCTGAATAAACTGACGTTCGAAATTACTATGAATCCTCGTATAGAAATAATATGCTACTGATAAGATCGCAGAAAACTCTGCCGCAGCCAACGACCGGTCTCGCGCTTCTTGAGGCCGATCAATTAGGTGCAGTTTACGTCATAGTCGAACCAAAAGTGACATGAAATTCAGCTTATAGACTCATCTGCATACCACCTTGGTTTTGACAAGAGACTCACCTGTTTATCAAGTGAGTCCTGTCATTTATGATATCTTTTATAATGTTCCCGTCAAAAACAAGTTGGCTTGAAGATGAGTGCGCAAGTCGTGTAATACGGACAGATGTAACTGAACCATTCGAATTTTCTGGAAATTCTATCTGAAGCCCAGTTGGCCCATTTTCATCGCCCAAGAACGGCAGCGTAATGGAAACACACTGAGCACTGTTCGGTGTTAGGAACTTTAAACCCGGGCAGACATCTGATCAGTGGTCTCACTGTTCCACAAACTTCACTATCGCACTGATAAGCTAGGCAATGCAGTGAAACGATCGCGTGAGTTGCTACAAAGTAACTTATCGATTGGTGATGTCATGGGTGATTGATTAAAGAACAGAAACAACCACGGGGGCTAAAGTCATAGGCGATTCTTTCGGACACCTGACATTTTGAATATGTACGGATCGAATGTTTTTTTCTTCCAGACGTGGTTTATATTAGCTAGCACTCCTCGGATGACCAGAATAATCCTGTGGGTATTGGATGAGTGAAACATATAAAAATATTGTTAAAGGAGAAAGTGGAGCTATTGCCTTCAAGAAAATCCTGAGATCACTTAAATCAGAACCATTCAGTCTTTCTTAGCAACCAGAGTGTCCATAAGTTGGTCGTATCACCTCTTCCGGGGCCCTGAATTTAGATAATCTATACAAGTTCAGTATGGAATTCCCAACAGTTGGGCAAACACCCAAGATACTTGCGCACAACATCACCCACTCTCTACTTTTTAACTGTTCTAGGTTAGCCAGTCCTCATTTCCATACTGATTACTCAAAACTGTTTCATCAGTGTCTGTTTACCACTAGAGTGACGGCGGATACTACTGGTGAGGCATGTGAGTAGTATGTTTTCTCGTAAATCCGCTTCGTGTCTCTTGAAAAGTGATATTTCTTACGCAGTTTGTGAAGTTGAATTTGCTTGCATTTGAGCAACAGTCAATGAATATCCAGGAAAATTCTGGAAGACGAGTTTAAGGAGAAGATGGATATTCAGCTTTTGTAAACAAGATGCATACGAGAGTTTTTCTTCCCTGTTCAATAGTCTTTAACTGTTCAGTTGGCCTTTTCTAATAAATAACTCCACAGAGAAGGCCTTCTTCCTTCAACTAGTAGTGTAGCGCACCCCGAAATGCAAAACGCTGAGTAGAATATTTGACGTATCGGAAACGATGACATCACATCTGGTCAAGCCCAAAACTGTTATTTCGAAGTGAACGTTTCTCATGGCCTTAAAATATTGTTTAGCAGTAACATTCCCCGGTTTCTGGCTGCCATGCTACCCGAAGGATGCACGAGGACTGGGATGTTGCCAGGTTGCCCAAGCCTAGGCAGGGCAATTCGACAAACACAAGTCGGGTTCGAACCACGAACCTTCCGGTCAATAGATTTGCGCTCTAACCAATTGACTCCTCTCTGCTCCCTCATGACCTACTGTACAATGTAATGCTTTCTCACTTTAGTTGCTAGTATCCACGAACCTTCCGGTCAATAGATTTGCGCAGTAACCATTTGAGCCCTCTCTGCTCCCTAATGACCTACTGTACAATGTAATGCTTTCCCACTTTAGTTGCTAGTAACTTTTTTCGTTTGCACTTTCTGTGGCGCGCGCCCAAGTGAGTTCAGTTTGCATCAATTTTGTATAACTGTATTTTTTATTGTCCATTTGGCTTGTTCGTTGTTTATCAGCATACCAATTTTTCGCGCATTAATCCACTCAGGAAATCATTCTGAAACGACGAACTGGTGACAAATACAAATTCGCTGGAACGAATTCTCCGGCAGCTCGACGTTTTGCTGTCGTACACGAACCTCGCCCATCAGCGCACATATTATACCAATATACTGGATAGTTTTTTTACCTTTAGTATAGTTTATGCTCCATATACACACTAATTAAACTTGTTCGTCTTTTGAAAAATCTTTGCTACCTGTACGTGAAACATCCCCGTTTTCGGGAGAGTGGCTTTTCAAGCTTGTACAATATTATGCCTGCTCGATATCTGTCCCCTAGAAGTTTCGATACCAGAAGGCAGAGCTGTAATTATCGAAAAGCCTAGTACGGAATAGTTTTTCGATCAATCGACTCAAGTCACGTGGAGCTCTAGAAACAAATGATAGGTACTCATTGACTCAGGAGTGTGATAAACGACCAAGTGAACTCACGATTGCGTCCGTATATTCAACCAATTTCTCCTCATCTTCTATTGTTGACTGCTTCAGCAAAAGTGCTAAAAAATCCTGGAACGATAAGTAAAAAAATGTCAATTGCCACACAATGAATTTCCTGGGATTTACCGTGTCAAGTGATTTCATCCTCGATGAAAATCAATGTTGAATTAAGCCAAATAAGTAGTTCGGTGCAAATAGTTGTTCGTTTTCCACCACAACAGCCCTACATCGGAAAATGATTTAATAACGAGACAATATTGCCGCAAATTCTTCTAGAAGCCTTTCACTAAAATACATACCTTAAGGTTGTTAGATTCTGTCTTCAATTAGTTTCCTCATTGGAACTGAACCCAGTCAAGATGCGCACTTTCTGGAAGTACAATCTTCGTACTCTCCGGGATGTTTAACCGATCATAAACACATATCGTCTGGAGAAATTTTGGCAGATATCGATCGAGATTTCTTCTCGCTAAGTGAAGATAATCCATGCAATAAAGACGCGAATCGCTATTGGGCTGTATAAAATCGATTGAGAATCATCACCGGTTGAAATTTTAGTAAAATCCAGATGGTTTCGAACCCGCGACCTCCCGGCTGGTAGTTTCAACTCAGAACACTCGAAACATGGTCGGCTGGTCAGCGGTGTGATTATCTTGAAATTGAACATGGTGTGGCGCCACTCATCCTTCATTCAAGGGATCTATATCACGTGGTCACCTACCGTCTCTTGACATGTCTCCATTAAGGTAAGCTTGGGGCGAGATGGCTCAGTGATCAGAGCAAAAATTAACTGACGGAAAAGTTTGTGGTTCGAACCAGACCTCTGCATCTCGACTTTTCCCATCTAGGCTTGGACAGCCTGACAGTATCCCAGCCCCCATGCTTCCTTCGGGTGGCACGGCAGCTGGGCTACGAACGATTCGACAAGGGGTATCGTGTTTTTTGTGTTGGAGGGGACTAACTGAACTCATCTTTGATTTTTCAGCCCACCATTCAAGACGACGACTGAGGTGGCGAACAGCCACTCCGTTTTGTTCGCTTACAGTTTCACTAACACCACCTTTCTTTTGAAGAAAGAGATAGCTCAGTAGTTACAACACGAATTCACTGGCCGAAAGGGTTCGAACCTGGCCTCAACTCCCTGAATTCCCTTTTCTAGGCTTGGTAAACCTGGCATTATCCCAGCCCTAGGCACCAAAAAGATGTAACAGGTGAACCACACGACACGACATGCTAATTTTGAATCCGTACCTTGTCAAGAAGCTATGGGACGGAAAACGTTCCACATGAAAGCTAACTCTTTGTTGCGATAGAGCCCCACTACCGATCTTTCTGCCGGTTATATCATGCAACTTTGACGAGACTCGGGTAGGTGGAACAGTCAGATGTCCTTCACGCTCACTGAGATGTATGTAACGATGCAAACGAGGAGGAGAAACAAGCCGTGCGCCTCAACTGTGAACCGCATCTTGTCCCATCTAGTCGGACCCATCTAGTCGGACATTCAAAATCCTGCTGCGCCATCAAAATGTCTATGTTCAACCATTTTAACGTCAGACTGAACTGAAGCCAGCCTTTTTTCTCTCGTTCATGGTGCGCCTCAAGAAGTGTGTGAAACCGGCAGTCGGCTGTCGAAGATTTTTCAGCACCTTTATGAGTATAATGGTACGTGTAGACAAGGTATCAATATTCGATTTATTGATGTAAGCTCCTGGGTTGGAATATCCATGACTCGCAAACCGAAAAGGTATATTCCACTGCGCACCTACAATGACCATTCCACAGCAATTATTTTTGAGAGATTCGACACTCACTGAAAAGAAAGTGCCTTGGGAATTCAACGGAATATTTTTAGCTCGGATTTGATAATTGCTGGTTGATCAGCTAGACCAAGAATAATAAGTCCAAGGACGGAAACTATTCAGGGTGCCAATCAAATTCAGCGAAAACGGACAACGACGCAACACAGTTGGAAATGGACCAATAAGATTCCGGGGAGGGTGGGATCCTGTCATCCAATCACAGCAACAGATACCAGTTAGTCTTTGCTAGCTATATAAACTCGGACAAAAGTGCGCTCCTGTGGTTTCATCTAAAATGCTGACGAGACATTTGTAATCCAATTACCAAGCTCGGTGAACAGGTCAACGTCTATCTGATCGCACAACACCGACGATCCTTCTGTTGTTCGGATTGCCCCCTGGAGCATTGAAAAGCAGTGACAGGTTGTTTTTTCGCACACCTATGGCAAGATCGTTTTTGTTGCGGGACATGAGTTGGTGGTCCGGCAAACTGACTTTGATCGCAACAGAAAGGAATATCGGTGGTCCCAATGTGGCCTGTTTGGGAATGCTCCTATTGCCTCTATTCTGGAATTCGACCAATCCCTTGGATTTATGTAACAAATGAAAGAATACTGGAAATCAGAATGATTTTATAAAAACCCCTAAATGTCCGTTTAGAGTGCAAGATAGGAGGGCTGTATAACATCCTCAGACATCCAAGTAAAGTTTCGTCTTGTTTGAGACCCATCAGGTAGACGTAGTCTCCAGAAGTTGTGTGCGAAGAAAGTTTAACGAGAGTCCTCGCAAAGAAATTTCTAGTTGGCATGTACACTACAGACCAGAGGGACCCCATCGTGTCTTCAGTTTCGTAAGTGTGATGTCAAAAATTTACAAAGAGGCACTCTTTTTACAGTCAATTTGAAACCGCGCTATGTTATGTTTACTTGGGTTGCTAGGTGGATTGAGAATGCTCACTTTGCTGCCACAATTCATTATTTCAGACTGGTATTGTGCCCCTTCTCCACGGTCATGGATCGGTTTTCAGCGTTTATCGCTCGGCCGATCCATTCGATTGGTTATCCTCAGACATTTGCCAGATAAGAAAAGTCTGTAAAATGATCTATCCACAATTTACGCCTAATAAACCTGACTTCTCATGGCCTGACCTTGAGCGTGCAAGCCATGAAACCCCTGGTTTGCATTGGGCTTTTAACCGGTACGTTCACGACCCAGTAACAGAACTGCACATCGAAAGTCCGCCTCATGTTTCGGTCGCGACGATATTCGAGATATCACGATACATGTATATTCGTCATGCATACTCATAAG